ATTTTTGACAGTTTTCATACGCTTTATAGCCTACTTACAGGCGTGCTGTTGTAAATTTGTTTTCGCTAGGCTGTGTGTTATTGTTGTTGCTGACACAATTTGGCAAATTTAAGCCTTGTAAATGCCATTATACTGACATACGTATTTTGGTAATGTTTTGTTGCTTTTCTTCGCTGCAATATCGATTATTTAAGCATTAGTGCCATGGCTGGCAGTTTTTGTCGGCTTAGAAGCAAAACAGAGTAAAATAACAAAACAGCAACAATAACAAAAAGAAAGTTTCCTTCAATTACGCATTGCTGTTTTTTTTTTGATTTTGCGACAATCAATAAGTCAGCGTGTTACATAAAAAAAATCGGTGTTAACTGTTCGTAGAAGCTGCATTAAAAGCAAAACAAATATACACACGCACACACACTCAAAAGGCATGTGCAATTTTTTGGTTCAAACACTTGACTGTCGCACAGCTTCCGTATTGCTGTAACAACACCAACAATAATTGCACTCGATTTGCTTGAATTGCGAGTGCCAATTTTTATTTTTTTATTTGCTTGTCTTCTTTTGCTTCCTTCTTCTTTTCCGGTTATTCATTAGCAATTCTCTTTTGCGTAGTTTACCATCAAACTTCAAGTACAAGAAACAGCTCTGGCATTTACTTTTATTATAAAAACAAGAGTAGGTACTAAAATTCTCGAAAATACGATTACACCGTGCGACAAAAACCAAAAAAAAAAAAAATCGAAACACACGTAACAATCAATATACTCACGAAACAATGAACCAAATATAGTAAAGCTTCGTTTTTAGTCCATCGTCAGAGTTAGATTTTTTTGAAAGGACTTTAAAATTTTAAAGATATGGTTAATTCAAAAAATTATTTAAAAAAATTAGTGGAATGTACAATAACAATATGGGCACCAAATGAAAGAGAAAATTCTGTAGAATTGAAAAACATTTTTTGGTTTACAAGAACGAATAAGTATTGAAAATGCGCTTTTAAATTTATTAATTTTTTTTTTAATTAATACAATTAGGCGGACGAAATTCGAGGATGTGGTCGTGTCTATATTAGCCCTTAATATATAATTTTTTCAAAAATAAATATTACAAATTTTCAAGCATATTCCCTGCAAACCATTTTTTCAGAGTATTCTGCATTGTAAAGAAATTTTAAAGAATTCGGTAAAGATTTAATTCGATTTTTTGCCGAATTTTCTAAAATGAAATAAATTACGCACACTTCCATTCTTTTACGAAATTTCGGAAGAAAATCTGTGAAGCAACGAAAATAATGCTGCTATGTGAAGAATATCTTTCAGAATTTTTCCAGATTTTTCTTTATTTTTCTTTATTTTTTTTACGAGTTCGTGTCAACCACTTCATATAACTTTCTTTAAAAATTCGTAAAAAAATCGTTACAGAAATGCGATACTACGAACGATTTCCTTAAGATTTCGGGAACTTTTGTTTGCAGGGTTGAGGGATAAAATTTTAAAAGGAAAGTTTCCAACTCATTATGCATAAAAAAATTTTTATTTTTTAATTCTACGGGATATTCTCTTTTATTTGATACCCACATTGTTATTCTACATCGCACTCAAATTTTTCAATAACTTTTTAAATTAGTAATATTTTTGATATTTCAAAGTCCTTTAAAAAAATCCTGACGTCAGAGTGAAAAAATTAAAATCCAGTTTTACTATATTTTGCCCATATTTTCGCGAATATGTTAATTTTGTGTGTGTAAAATTTACTGTCGCACGGTGTTATAAATAGAGCCTTTTCAGTTTATTTTTGGTCTGGTCAGTATTTTTGTAAAGTGTATCCTTCAGCCTTGTTGCTTAGTTGAGCGCACAGTAGCTGAGTCGTTAACGCACAGCATGTGAATAATGAAACTGTAGGGAAATTTTATCACAGCAGGCATATAATTTAGTAATATTTTAAAAGTAATTGGAATCAACACTTTCTCTTCTACACATCCCTCTTGGTTACATAAATGCTGCTTTAAACTGGATTAGACTCTATTTGACACTACCTATGCCTTTTTCTCGCAATTGGACTAATGCTTACTACTAGGCCTATGCCGATGATGTTCCTATATGGCGTCCGAGAGCAGGTCATAAATCACAAATTGCATATAACTTTAATGACGCTTATATTCAGATAATGTTTTACATTTTAAAGTTATCTAGATAGGTGTTATCTCCGAAAATATTCGTATAATGTTGCCATTTATTCGAAATTAGTTTTAAATTTAACAGCTCTTCGTAATCTGTGTATAAAATAATGAGCGTTTTGAAAATCCCCAATTCAGAAATATTTGTGAATAGGGTTGCCACCTATTTTTGGTCGAATATTTATTTAATTTATTTCTAGAAAATTTATATAATATACACTAACAATGCTTGGCGTATATAAGTGTTGTCCCTTGAAATATTAGTGTAAGGTTGCCACTTATTTTCGACTCAATACAATTTAACTAAGCTAATTTAATATCAATATTCTTAATAGGGTTTCCACCTAATTTTTTATGCCAAATATTTTTAAATTTATTACATTCAAAAAGTATTTTTTTTTTAATTTGTTTCAAAAATATTATTTTTGTAGAATATTGACGATATTTTTGTTGATTAATATTATTTTTCAGAGTTTTTTATTTTCATTTTGTTTTACTGAGTACTGAGATCCTTAGGCTAAAATATTAACGCATTGATAATATTTTTTATCGTTATAATTTGTATGGAAAGTGGTATTACATTAAAAAATATTTTTAAATTGAAGCTATCCAATTAACCATTATTTGGTACCCAAACATTGAAAACCATTAAAAGTGTATGCATGATGAAGCCAAATCTAGACTTTGCAAATATTGAAAACGCAATAAGTATCATTTGGTTTCATCTCCCTCTTCTCCGACGAGTCGAGGCATTTTTACTCAACAAATGAGTCCGCTTTTTCATTTGGGCCAGCTTCTAGCCTCTGATTTCTAATGATTGCTGCTCAGATTTTTTTCGGATGCTACAAATAAATATCTATCGTGAAGGCATTAAAAATACAACATATTATCACTATAAGTAAATATAACGACGCACTGTTTTTAGAAAAATGTATAAATCATTCAAATAAACTCGGCGTTTGTGATAAGTAATCCCTTGACTCCACTTCTACAAATCCGATGTCACACAACCAATCATACAAATAGATCATAGTGCGCTGATTATAAAACCAAATATGTATGAGAAAAGCACACTTGCTTTCCTAAAGATGCTTACTTGCCAGTAGAAACAAACCACTTGTTGTTTGAGTGCAAGATTATAATGTTGAAGAAATTTGGATTACGTATACGCAGTGTACAACCGGCTTAGCTGTCGTTCGTAGTCACGTTAAATGTATGCAAATATTTATATGCAGTTGATTTACGCTAAAAAAAGAAGAAAGAAAATTTTCAAAAAAAAAGCCTGTCTTTAGTGTAAAATTTGTCAGAAATATTTGCTA